GAAACGTCAGCCTTCCTGCTCCTCTGATGCTGCTTGGCCTGCTGTGTTCATCCAGCTCTACACCTTGTTATCTGAGTATCTAATTGGTTTTGTTAACTTATCTCACCATGACCAGGTATTTTTATCTCATGTACATGTCCAGTTTTTCTGCATCTTTGTGCAGTATCCTACGTTTATCTTCCTCTAGGTCCATCTGCCATGTTTTAGCCCATCTATGTAATTTCTGCTTGATATAACTTGTGTTGTCAGAAAATCTAATTTTATTGTAAAAACAACCTTTTCCATATTGTTGGCAAATATGTCAAGTGATATTGCTCCCATCAAAATCTTTGAAAAATTACTAGTTATTTTATCCAAAAGGCATTTTATACTAGTCACAGTCCTCTGTTTGCAAAGCCATTGTGACAAGTTAACTCGTGAAAATGCTGTGGTAGGAATCCGAATCCTTTGCTATTTTAATATGTCTATTTAATAATCGTGTTTAATAGCCTTAATATCTGTCCAATGCTGATTAAACCTCAGAATAAATGATACTGTTATTTTTCCTATGTTGTGAACTTTAATTCACTGCATGTATTATACTGACCACTTGAGGGTGTTGTAGGACACTAAATCTTGAAAAATTTGTAACAATATTAGCAATTTAAATAATAGACTCTTAAACAGAGCCTTATTTCTGTAAGTTACAATTAACATTTCAAAGTTTTGAGAATAATGCATTTAAGAGTACTCCATATGTTCAAAGGATGTCATCACTATATTTAGAAATTTTCAGTTTGGAACTAAAATATGAACAGGAGCCAGTGAAGCTAATACAAAATGTGCTGTGTTAGTGGTTATAACTTTGTGCATGATTGCTTTTAAAAACTTGTCTATACTGCATTTGAAAATTAGTAAAACAATGATCCTGCTACTTCAAAATAAATTACTCTAAACCTATATTATCATTAACTAGGGATTTGAAATGGCTTGGGTATAAAGGCAACACAGTGTGGAGCTGGAGGAAGATAGCAGCTCAAGCGGCATTAGAGGAGTAATAAATTTGACGTTTCAGGTCGAGACCCTTCAGAAATGGGGAGAGGGGAAAAGGGGGCTCAGAAATAAATAGAGGGGTGGGGCTGGAGAAGGTAAGTGGGATGGTGATAGATGGATGCAGGTAGGGGGTGGTGGGGATTGGTCAGTGGGAAGGGTGGGGCGGACAGGTTGGAGAGAAGATAGACAGACAGGTTGTGTCAGGTCAAGGAGGCGAGTCCACAGGCAAACTGGAGGAGCAGCACCTCCTATTCCACCTCGGGAGCCTACAGCTCGATGGCCTGAACATAGAATTCACCTAGTTTTAAAATCTCCCCACCCCCAGCCTCATCCCATGTCCAGCATCCCCCCGACCACCTTATCCCCACCTCCTTGACCTGACACAACCTGTCCACTACCTTCCCCACCACTCCCCTACCTGCATCCACCTATCACCATCCCACCTACCTTCCCTCCAGCCCCACCTCTCCTCTCTCTATTTGTTTCCCAGTTCCCTCCCCCCTCCCCAGTTCTGATGAAGGGTCCTGACCTGAAATGTTGACTTTCCTGTTCCTCTGATGCTGCCAGACCTGCTGTGTTCCTCCAGCTCCACACTCTGTTGCCTCTGATTCCAGTATCTGCAGTTCTTGCTATCTCTCAGCTATAAAGGCATTTTTCAAGCCCACCAATTAAGTGTCCCTTGTTTTGGCTGGTCAGAACTGTAACATGGTTTGGATATCCTGCTGAGGAAAGCCCAAGCAATACCGAGTAAAAATTGGGATTCTCATTTTTGTCAGTTGATTGTATGGTATGGCTTTGCATGTGGGTACTGATCATGAACAGAAATGTGGCTGTACAACCTCTAAGACCAAATCCTATCAGCTGACCTAAGGTTAACATCACATCTTTCTAGTCATGCACACCAGTGTGAGCAAGACATTGTGAGAAGCTCCATTCTGTTGTAGTTACTTGTTTTTGAGACATTGAAAATGTGGCTGTGATTTAATAAAAACATTTTTTGTTTAGTCATAGTTTTGATTTAAATAACTGTTATTTTCATTCTTTCCTATGCAGGACGAGGTTGCATTTAGATGGCCCTTATAACGAAAATTTTTATGGAAGTCTATCAGATTCTCATTCTCAAGATGATGAAACAGTGGACTATGCAGCCCAAAAGGTAAAATTAGTTATTGCATTATTTTTTCATAAGCATGTAAATTGCATCAAAGAAAGATGAATTTCTGTCATTGTTTAAGTATTGATGTTGACCTATCCACGTCACTTTAATTGTTTTGGTCAAAATATTGGTAACTGTCAGTGAAGATTGAAACGATAAGGCATAAAAATCACAACTGGCACCTTTTCAATAATCCTGAGTGATTGCCAGCAAATGAGCTGTTAATCTTAATAGAAGCTTAAGTGAGCAAGCACTCTGCAATCCATCTTGATAAGCATTTGAAAAGCTAAACTGTACCTACCTAACATTTGAGTCTAGTATCATACCAAATTAAACATTGTTAATAAAAAAAAAAGTAGCTGAGTAGACCAGGCTGTATCTACAGTAAACAAATAACATTTCAAATCATCTGACCAGAGCATTTTTTGATTTTTATTTCAGATTTCTAATATCCACAGTAATTTCCTTTGATAATTTTAAACTAGAGCTTTTGCATAAGCCTACATTTTTTTTGTTTAACCCTTGGGCAGCATTTGGTGAGCTCCAGAGCAAGGAGGTTAATGATGAATAACCCATGCCTGCAGTGAGACTGCCCTCTGTGGGGGGAAAAAAAAATCAATCTGTAAGATTGTCCAATGCGTTATTCTACTGCTATGCTATATGATTCATATCAGTGTTACCTCCAGATGTGGGATTTAAACATAATTTTTAAAATGAAGCACGTCTGGAACTGTTGTCTTAATACCTTTACTGAGTAAATGAGTTAATCTTGGTCTACAAGATATTGAATCTGTGTTCTATAACAAAGTTCTTGTCTCTCGGTTGACCAAAGCAAGATCACAAATTAAGTAGATATGCCAGGAAGCCTGCAGCTTGTAAGAAACAGCATGGGTATGATGGACCCCTGAAACCACTGCATATGCATTCCTTGGATGCTGTTAGTAAAATCATTTAAAACAGCTGTTTTTGAACTTGATTATTTATCAGTTTCCACATTGTTAGCCTATCGACTTATTTCTTAGAATCAATCAGTTCTCACTGCTAATGCTGTTTAAAATTTCAATGCATCAAGAAAAGTTCTATCATCGTTGTCATTCATTTTAAATGCTAGCATCCAGGTGACAGATTAACAAGCAATTTAATAAACAAGGATTCATTTCCAGAGGGACTGAGTTGAAAAGTAAAGAAGTCAAGGTCAGACTACACCAATATCACTGTATACAAATTGTGACAAAAAGATATTGAGAGATTGGAGAGGGTCAAAAATATTTCACAGGTAATACCAGAAGTATGGCGTATCCTTATTAGAACAGCAAACGGGCTGGAACATTTTTTATTTCTCTTGAAAAGTGAGTGATGTGGGGAGTCCTAGTTGAGGTGTTAAAATTGTGAAGGGATTTGATGAGTAGATACAAAGCATGCTTAGGAGAGCAAATCCAGAGGCCAATATAAATACCTATATAATGGTCACCAAGAAATTAAGAGAATTCAGAAGAAACTTCTTCACCCAATGAATAGTGTGAACAGAGAATTCCATTGCCACAGGGTGTATTTTAAGCAAATATATGATCAAATGGCAGATGGAGTTCAATCTGGATAAATACAAGGTATTGCATTTTGGTACAACAAACAAGGGTAGGGCTTATACAATTAATGGTAAGGCATTGGGTAGTGTTGTAGAACAAAGGGACCTAGGGGTTCAGGTACACAATTCTTTGAAGTTTTTATGACATGCTTGCCTTCATTACTTAGTCCTTTGAGTATAGGAGTTGGGAAGTCATTGTTGAGGTTATATGGGACATTGAGGCCTCTTCTGGAATACTGTGTCCAGTCCTGGTTGCCCAATTATGGTAGGATATTACTAAGCTGGCAAGGGTTCAGAAGAGATTTACCAGGATGTTGCCAGGTATATAAGGTTTGGGTTAAAAAGGAAGACTGGGACCTTTTTTCATTGGGGAGTAAGAGGTTGAGAGGCAACCTTATAGAAGTTTATAAAAATAATGAGGGGTATAGATAGAGTTAATGGTGGTTGCCTTTCCCTCGGAAGGGGGATTTCAAGGCTAGGGGGCACATTTTTAAGGTGAGAGGCGAGAGATTAAAAAAGACATGGCAAATTTTTTTTACACAGAAGGTGGTTCACATGCAGAATGAACATCCTGAGGAAGTGGTAGATGTGGGTACAATTACAATGTTTAAAAGACACTTGGATGAGTACATGAATAGGAAAGGTTTGGAGGAATATGGGCCAGGAGCAGGCAGGTCAGACTAATTTATTTGGGATTATGTTCAGCATGAACTAGTTGGACCGAAGGGTCTGTTTCCACGCTGTATGACTCTAACTGTATATACAGTACTTGAAGGAAAGCTAGGTAAGTCTTCAAGGGAATAGTGTCAGGGAGAAAAAAGTAGGAATTAGCTCAACTGAATCACTGCTAATAATGAACTGGTTGACCAAATGGCTTGTTTCTGTGCTGAAGAATATCCTATATAATTTGTACCTATAATTGGTCTTTGAGAATATAGACTATGTTGGTTCCTGGCAACTGCATGCAAGCAAATTATCTAAAATAGAAGAGACAGCCAGAACTGATATATTTTTTCAGAAATAATTGGTAACATGGTATTTTCATGTTCGGCAATTTTCCATGTAGTTTTAGCTTAATTTTTGTGTGAAGAATAACAAAATGATAAGTTATTTATCTGGCTTTTGTGCAATCATCTCACTGTATGATTTGGCATTCATATTTGTTTATAATTGTCATAATTGTTTATTAGTTTGACCTGAGGCATGCTTTTGCATAGTCATTTTCTTTTAACCCAAAGTCGTAAAAGTTGTTGCCTTTTAAAATGTGCATCTAGCAGCAGTTGTGACTAGAATTTTTGTGGTTTTTTTTATTTAAAATTATAGATTCATCAGTACAGGGTTGCTACAACAGCCAAGGATTGCTCCATCATGATTGCGCTTTCGCCTTGTCCTCTGGAAGAATGGTAAGGGGTCTGTCATTGGAAATACAGTAAAAACAGTACGATGTAAACAAAACTATAATTAATGGAATAAATTACAGTCCATGACAATCTACAGAGTAAAACATTAGCATTTTTATCAAGCCGTATGCTCAAAACATTAACCTTTCATTGCATTATCAGGCATTGTATATTGGTAGGATTACTTCATTTGGAACCACTTATGTTATCGTTTCATCTGTTTAAACCTCAGTATTTCTGTTTTTCCAGCTGCAAAATTGTCACCAGCATTGTGACAACAGAATACTGGTCAATTTAAATTTCTGCACCCTAGAATCATGTTTGGAATGGGAGGATGAGATCTGTGCTGTGCTAGTCAGTACATGGAGTGTAACAGATGTAGAATCCTTCTGTGACACATGATCATATAAGACTGCCTTGTATTTGTGTTAGCTTTCCATATATTTCTCTTGAGTTACTGAATTTATTTCTGATCATGTGATGGTAAAGCTCACTAAACATAAAGGGGTGTTCAACACAAGGTGACCTTGCTATTTCTTTGAAGAACTGCTTTTCACAAAGTATGTTGTGTTAAGATTTTCATGCTGAGGCACCCTTTATATAATTTGTAACTTTCTTCCAGTTTGGTTTTGATTACCACTTCACATTCAGAAATTATCTCTTGAGGAGCTAGGTATTCCTTTTCAGAAAAAGATAAGTGGAATTTAAGAATGCTTTATGACAGAATTACAAGGTCATAAGAAGAGGAAAACCATTTAGTTCATCCATTGTAAAGAACATTACAGTATCTAGCCAGTTCTTAATGTTTCTGGGGTTTGAATTCCAATTGCTAACATTTTCGTTTAGGCAGTCATTCTATCTCTTGCAGTGGAGCAGTGTACTCTCATCCCATTTCCTATTCTTATCTCTATCTACGTGTGTGTGTGTGTGTGTTACTTTTTCCTGTAATTGATATAGTCTCTGCATCAATAGATAATTGTGATCAGGCATGCCATTTTCTTATGACCCTGAGTATTTTGTTTGTTTGAGTAGTAGTTCTCAATATATACTGCGTTGTTGTAGCTTCACCCAAGTATTAAAGTTTTTAACTATATACCCAGAGCTTTAGGAAACCAGAAGTCCTTTGATATATCCCTCTCACTTTGCTGCAAACGAAAATAAATGCAAGACCTTTTTTCTGAAACCATAATCGAAGTTATGTATAATTTTAATGATTTTTCACCATTTCTGTAGTTCTGATGTTCTTACCATAAGGGTCTGCTGTGAACTGCATGTAATACTCAAATTATATAAATAACTAGTATGGATAGAGGAATTACATGTTATTCATTCTCAGATGGCCAAAACTGAAATGTTCTATTTATTTTTAGTTGCCCATGGAAGCTGATGGCATCAGAATATTTCAAAATAAGATGGTGTTTTAGTTTGAGGCTGTGGTGTTCTAGGATGCTGTTATGCTTGTTAAATCTAGGTGTTACAGACTGATGTTTTATTGAAGTGAGCTTGATCAGGATGGCTTTGGATGAGTGCTAGATTGAAAGGAATCAAAGAAAACTTTAGTAACAATACATTTGGGGACATTCGAGAGGAAAGAAAAATTAGAAGTGGGAATGGCCAGAGCAGTTTAATTTTTGGCAAAGAGAGTAAAGACAGCTTTTCTTCTGTCCAGAGATAGTAGGAACTGCAGATGCCGGAGAATCTGAGATAACAAGGTGTAGAGCTGGATGAGCACAGCAGGCCAAGCAGCATCAGAGGAGCAGGAAAGCTGACGTTTCGGGCCTAGACCCTTTTTCGGAAGAAGAACTTTAAAATTGACAGAGCTTTGGGGAGTCAGCAAGGACCCAATCAGGTCTTGATTGGGTCCTTACTGCAAAAACAACCCAATGGTCTCAATGAAGTTCCAACAAAGATTTTCCCTCTGATTACTTTTAACTTGTATTGCATTCACCCAAAACAAAATTAAGTTAAAAGTAATCAGAGGGAAAATCTTTGTTGAAACTTCATTGAGACCATTGGGTTGTTTTTGCAGTAAGGACCCAATCAAGACCTGATTGGGTCCTTGCTGACTCCCCAAAGCTCTGTCAATTGATTTAATGAGACAAGTTTCATAGTATCTTAGTGCATTGTATGGCCACATCTTAAGCACTTACATAACTTTATGTGCATTTTGTTATTAAATTCACTGCCTCCAATTTAGTTCCTGAAATAAATAGTTATTCTTTTATGCTGGTCATTGAAAAATATATATTCCTGTTTTTTAAATGATACTTATCTCAATTTCTCCCAACAGCTCTTGCATTTTGGAGTTTCTATTAAACTAGTGGTTAGAATTTGGTTAAAACATTGGGGAGCAGAATTAAATTTACATATGAATAGTATACAGTGTGATTTCAGATCCCTGTATCTTAATTCTCATAATACAGGATATATCTTCACTACACATCTTTTTCTTTACAGGCCTGAACCAGGTACCATAATTCAGACATCACGGGCTTGCTTTGTATATTCTGTCTCTATTCTAGATTTGGATCCCAAACCATATGAAAACATTGCACACCAGTACAAACTTGATGGGAAGATAATAAACTTTTACTTGCAGAGCACGAGAGCCAAAAAGGATCTTAATACTCCAAACTTCTACAAGGAAAATGAAGAATGCACACTGTTTTTTCATTCAGTGTGAGTTGTTGTGGGGCCTTGCTATTCTCATCACAAAGAACTGCACTGACTGAGAGGCCACAAGTATAAAGGAGAAGTTTCAAAAATGTTTGTCGAGTAAATTTGAACATTGACATTGGCAAAATATTTTAAATTCTGAACCTCGCTCACTAAACTTGCTCAAGTGGATGACTTTATTTTAAAAGTATGTCATTCACCAGTTTGAAAATAGCACTAAACATTTTTTACTGAAATCCGTTAACCTTTGTCTTGAAACTCCAGATTGTAAATATTAAAGCACAGTAATTTTAAAGATACCTGTAGAGTCAGTTGATTGGTGTTTCAAAATACCTGTCTTGGAGAGTAGAAGTTCTTTAAAAGCAGCTAAGTAAAAAATACTTTTATTTACGCAGCACTGAAAACTGCAAGAGAAACGTGATGTTCTTTAACAAGATTTTAGCATTTTTATTGCAATTTTGAGTTTAAATGAGTGGGTTAAAGCCATGGTCATGCACTTGATTAAAAATTGCCTACTTTCTGGATATTAGTTCATCACAGGAATTGCTGCTGGGAGCGATATTTGTTTTTCCACTGCTTTAGTTTGTGCCACTTGGTGAATATGCCACAGTTAGTGCACATAACAGTTATAATTTCTTGTTGTATGTTTGATCTAACCACTTGAATGGTGCCATTGAAATTTGGTTTTGTGACCCTCCACTTCGCACAATAGCTTTTCATAAATTGGGTGAAGGATGACAAATGGAAGCAATGTTTCTTTTGGGAGGCATAAATATGAAGCATTATTACCCCAAAGTTGTCATGATGTCTTGACACTAAACTAATTTTCAGAATTATAAATTTCAATAAAAACAACTCCATTGTTTAACTGACTTCTGAACATCAGGATTAAAACTAAATTGGGAGGAGTTGCTGTGGGATATTGTTTTTAAAAGTACTTTGTGCAGGGATATTATTTACCTTCAGCAAAGAATGTCAGTGCATAACGTACCCTGGAGTAATTCAGTTTAGGGCAGTAAATGTTCTGACAGTAACTTTAAGGACCACCTAAGGGACAGATGAGTTCTGTAATTCCAGCACTCCTGTAGATGCATTTTTTGATAAACTAAACCACCAGCGATATAATCTCTTGTTTATATTCAGTGGATTGAAAATCTGACTGTCTTGGCCATTTTACAAGTTGCATTTTCAGTGAGAACTGGATTGTGAAATCCCCTCCAGTTAACATTTTCTGAAATATCAGAATTAAAATTAATTTTGAGATTTTTTCATTCTCAACTGTAGTAAATAACTGATTTAGTAGTACATGCTCAAAAGCATCACTGTGCACTGAACCAAAACAAAACACCTCGTGAGTGAATGTTTATAAATGTGATGAAGGTAAGTGATAGCAGAGTTAAGGTTCTGAACATGGAGAAAAATGGTGTGTTTTAAATTTTAAGTCAGTATCACTGATCTTCATTCAGAACATGAGAACTGGAGATTCTCCAAATAATGGTGCAGGTATGCTAAAGGCTTTGGGTGGGGTGGGGAATCATTGAGTACAAAAACTTTTTTGTGATTAGCATATTGGGAAAAATGGAGTAAAGGCTCCTTGTCAACTGAGCAGAGTGGAAGTAGCACAATGACTTCAGGAGTGTAATATTGGGGTTGCTAATTTGCCACTTAAATTTACACTTCATAAAACTATAGAGTCTAAATGGAGAGAGAATGGAATGAGCAAGTTGCATGTAAACAAGTTTTTTGTTTTAAAACCTCAGCAAAAAGGTTTGGTAAAACAGTTTAAACAAATGTGTGCTATTTAATTTTCTTTAAATGTCCTTTTGATAATTTTACTTGTCTTATGCCATACTGCACTCCTTCTGCAGTTAAACCAATGCAAGATCCAAAATTTCCAAAAAACTATTTTGAAAATGAGATTTTTAAAAAAAATTTATCATACCATGAATAGAGGCTATGAATTACGTGGTGAAAAACTTGTCCTTTTTAGATTGTTTTGTTTAGATCTTGTCAATTAAGCTGTTGTTATTGAATTAAAACATCCTTATTTGTTCCCTTACTTTATCTACATTTTGTGAACTAGTCTACTCCTGACAGACTGTTTACAAAAAACAAATTATGGCATGCTTTTCTATTTCTGTGATACCGACAGTCTGTCTGTTAACTCTTGGCTTTCAACTAGACAAGGCAAACTAGTGATGCCATTAAAATAAAACTATTCATAACCCCTTTTCTGTAAAGTGTACAGCCCTTTTGGGTCTGAAGAGAGCTGCCGAAGCACTTATTTCTTTATCAAGGTGGGTTAGTAGGAATGTGACTACATACACCATTGTATTTTGGATCCAAAGATAGTGATGATGGAAGCTCCAGTTTTCTTTTCATTAAATGGGTAACCAGGAATCTCTTGCATTCTTACCACTTGCCATCACTGTATGTTGGAAAGATTTGCAAATTAATTGTCTGTCCAGCTATAATTATGAATGCAAGTCCCACACAATCTCGAACTGAAAGCATATGCTTAGCTACCTGGTAGCAAGACCGAAAATCTCTTAAAATGGCCAAGTAAAGCAGAAACCATGATCTGGGTTAATTTTGTTCGGAAATTGTGTAGGTAACCTGAAGGGAAAACTACCTCCATATTATGGCATGTGCAGATTAAGATGCCTGTTGGAAGTCTACTAAATGACCTATATAAAAAAAAAATTGCTTCTGTTCCTCACTGGCATGGGCACTTAGCTGATGTATGAACAATACCATGAATGGAAATGCTGAATCTGTTAGGTATAATTATTTTGTCTGTTGGGTTGCATTCCTATCTATAGTTTTGATGAGATTAAGAGGTTGAATTATAAATTATTGACCTGAATTATGGTGGTGGTACCTTTGTTTTTTATTTACATTTGCACTCCCTAGTGCATTCTTAAGTTTTTTTTTTGAGTGTGTAAACAGTCATAATCAGTAATGCTTTCTGCTCCTGTTAGACTTGTTGCATACTGCTTTTTTACCTTGTAAGAAGCATGTTTTCTTTAGTGAATCATATCATCTGAGCAGAAGAGTATTCCTCCCTACAGACATCTCTATTTTCCAATCTTTTTACCCACTTCTCACTCTCCAAACTACCATCCCCGCACAAATGCCTTTATATCAGCTCAGAATGAAACTCTGGAGTGATACTGTTTTTTTGAATGTCCACAGTTAGGCATTGTCCAGTGGAAATAGACCAAAAATAGAAATTACAGATTTATTTATTTTCCCTGCAGCTGAAGACAGGTATGTCCAATAGTAGCAATACTTTGTTTCTAGTGCCATAATTTACCTCAGGAGTTCACATTGAATCTGGTCTGTATAGCTCAATTCCATTGCTGCACTTAATTACCAAAAATCAAAAATAACTACTATTTCTAACTCTGATCTAAAAAGGACAGGTTCAGTACTTTTATGTGGTACATCTGGTGTCACTTCTTTCTAGAAATGATTGATATTTGCAATAAGACAATCTTTCTGGAATTAGCACTCTTTTTTTTTAAAATTTAAGTTCAAACTAAGGTAAAGATAACAAAAATAAAAGTTGCTGGCAAAGCTGAGCAGGTCTAGCAGCATCTGTGAAGAGAAAGCGGTTAACTTTTCGGGTCTCGTGACCCTTTCTCAGAACCGGACCCAAAATGTAAACTGATTTCCCTTCACAGATGCTGCCACACCTGCTCAGCTTTTCCAGCAACTGCTGTTTTTGTTCCTGATTTACAGCGTACACGGTTCTCTCAGTTTTTATATGGTAAAGATATGCTGCTGGTAAATGGAAACAAATTCCAGAATGCTGTTATTTTGTTGTTATGACTGGTGTACAAAAAGCAAGATAATTTAAATATGATCCCATTTTCTTATGGCTTAAAATATTGCACTATTAGCCGAGAACTACTGAAAAGTTAAAAAGCAAGATTTCAGCAAAATGTTTAAATTTAATCTTTTTGTATTGTTTCTCCAAGATAAAGTAATTGGATCTGTGAATTTCTAATTGTGTAAATCCTTCCTATTTAACTACTACTCATAAATAGATAATCTACTGCGGTTGTCATACTGCTCATTCCTCTACAATGTTTCTGTGAATGCATTCACAATCAGTCCCTTGAGACTAAGTCAAACAATGCATTTATCTCATGTTGACTACAGCAACTGGAGCTGGTGCATTATGAATGATGTGTGATCAAGTGAATGGGTTTTTGAATATGATCAACTAACTTATGTTGACTGCTACCGAGATTGAACTTTGGGTACTTTGGAATATTATTAAAGGTACAAAAAACAACCACAGCTCGGTGAAAGAATTGGTTTGTAATCACTTTGAACAACAAAATTGTGCCCTATGGTGCACAAATGGCCTTATAAAGAGATAAGTTTCAGACAATTCCACCTAGTTTTAGTAATATTATTGAAGTTCAGAGACTTAATTTATTCTTTCGTTTGTCAATAAAGCACTCCCCTCTGTTCATGCTTTACAAATGTAGCAACGTGTGAGAATTTTAAATTTTGAGTCTTTAGTTCTTTGTTACAATACATTTTTACAAAATAAAACTAGCACTGTTTCTGACCATTGGCTACTCTTGCCCCACTATATTTCATGGATTTTTATAGTTGAAATAGGCTGTGAATTAACTAAAAATGGTTTACATTGAAGAAAAACACATTTGAAAGGTAATTTCAACAACTACTGTGGTGTCGATGACTTGACTTGTCTTATGTATAATTGCAATAGAACTTGCCTTGTATTTGTAAATACTCTTTGGCTATTTGTATTTAAATGCTATATTTATTTTTCATTTGACAGTGCCATAGGCGAAATGGAAATGTATTTGTGGCATGTCCTGTTGTACAAAATATTTCAAAATAGTACATGTAAATTAATAAAATTGATCATGACTGTAGTAACAATCAGATTTTATTTACAGAAAATAAAAAAAATTTCTTGAATGGAAATCACTGTTTTCTTGTGAAACACCGTTTAGACTGACTTTCACATCAGTTTAATTAAGTGATCTATAGCAGCCTCAATTCCAAACACACGTATAAGTTTTCTAAAGCTGTTGGGTGCATTGTCCACAACTTTCTTTGTGTCCAAGTCAAGTGCTGTAGGGAAAAGATCAGAATTTATTTGTTACCCAAACTGTCATATAGTTTGAAGAGAAATAGTAAAGAAAAATCTGACATATTTCATTTTAGTACAAGGAGATCCATCATTGGAGGGGTGATGTTTGTTTAGTTCAAAGGATAATTACAATACTCCTTTGAAGACATTAATATGAACCTCACGAACTATTTTTTTTTAAAAAAAAAGCATAAAAAGATATTAGTAGCACATGTGCTGATGTGGAAGTTGAATGAATTCCACTAAACATCAGCTGCGGAATCCCACCAACTCAAACTGACACTCTGCCAAAGTTTGAACGGGGAGGGGAAAAATACATTTACCAGACATCACAAAAGCCATTCTTCTAGTCAATTGGGACCCACCCTCATTAGAAATCAGACTTTAAACATCTGTATAAGATGGCAAGGGAATAGAAAAAAATGGCACAGTATTGTTCCTATCAACTTTCTTAAAATCCCAGAAAATCATCTATAATGGATTTTGTCAGTACTGGCAGTTAATAGTAACACACAACTCATAAAATCCCTACAGTGTGGAAACAGGCCAAATGGCTCAACAAGTCCACTCTGCCCCTCCGAAGACATCCCACCCTGACTCATTCCCCATATCTAACCTAAACATTACTGGACACCATGGGCAATTTAGCATTGCCAATCCAGCTAACCTGCACATCTTTGGAGTGTGGGAGAAAACCCACACAGACAGTGGAATTGAGCCCAGGTCCGTGGTGCTGTGAGGCAGCAGTGTGAACCACTGAGCAACCATACCACCCAACTTCCTTAATAGATTAAAATATTTTTATAATAGACAATATTTATAGGCTGCAGGACTGTTTGTTTCTTCTAGCATGATTCTGACAATTAAACTTGAGGTTTTGGATAGATGAGATTTAGTCACGGCTGAATACGGGCAAAAATATAGTCCAAAAAGCATAGGTTTAAGTTATTTCTTGGCTATTCTTTGAACATTAATAACCAGCTGACAATTTTTTCTGGTTTCTGTGATCAGTTCATGCTTGGATACCTACCCTCTGCTGGTACTTTTGTCAAGAGATCCAGCACTGGAGCAACAACTCCTTCTTCACTTACAAATATTTTCCAGAAAATCTTCAGCTGAATCCTGTAAGAGAGATATGTCTGACAATTAAAACATGCTTTTGATTTTACAAAACAAAATCAATTGAGTGGTAGATTCTGATTATTGGAGATGTGCATGGCATCAGCAATGTTTAAATGATGCAATATTTGTATAGGAAGCTTTCTTAAAGTCCTTGGGACTGTTCAAAGTGAAGATTGGTAAATGACAGGGATATTTTTTAAAGTTAAACCTGCATCTGTAAGTATATTTATCCATGTCCATGACAGGACTAAACATGGACAGAACTAGTGTATAATTTTTAGAAAGGGAGCTACTCAAAATAATTAACATAAAAGAATCAATAAATGAACTTGGGGCAAAATAAGTAGCTACAACTGAAGTTTCAGATCACATTTAGAATGGGAGACAACAAGGTGCAGGGCTGGATGAACACAGCAGGCCAAGCAGCATCATAGGAGCAGAGAGGCTGACGTTTCGGGCCTAGACCCTTCATCAGAAAAGGGGGAGGGGAAGGGGGTTTTGAAATAAATAGGGAGAGAGTGGGAGGCGGATAGAAGAGGGATAGGTGGAGAGGAAACAAACAGGTCGAAGAGGCGGGGATGGGGCCAGGAAAGGTGAGTGTAGGTAGGGAGTTAGGAAGGGGATAGGTCAGTCCAGGGAGGACGGACAGGTCAAGGGGGCGGGATGAGGTTGGTCGGTAGGAGATGGGATTTTGTTTAGTGTTTTTTTTTTGCTTCCATTTGAGTTATATATAAGGACTTAAATCAAAAGATGATACATAACTTGTAAGAGTGAAATCACAATGGGCAAACTGCAATGGACAGTACCTTGGGATGAGGTTATTGATTTGCTTGCCGAGCAGGCTTGTTTTTATTCAGACATTTCGTCACCGTGCTAGGTAACGTCATCAGTGAGGCCTGTGATGAATCGATGTTGTTCTGCCGCACTTGCAATTTATACTGTCTGGTTCGTAATGGTGAATAGTGTTATTTCTGGTTTTGATCTGTATAGGTTTGTATATGGGGTTCAATTCTATGTTTGTTGATTGCATTATGGGTGGAGAACCATGTCTCTCGGAATTCCCCTGCTTCTCTATGTTTGGCTTGGGCTACAATAGTTACATTGTCCTAGTTAAACTGATGGCCTTCGTTGTCCAAGTGTACTGATAATAAGGAAAGTTCATCGTGTCGTTTTGCTGCTAGCTGATGTACCTAGCATGGTGACGAATAGTCTGAACAAAAACAAGCTGCTCAGCAAGCAAGTCAACAACCTCACCCATAACCCGAGCTACAAATCTTTGCTAAAACTTTAAAGTCCCTTGGGATGATCAGAAAAAGAAAACATAGATTACTTTGAACCTTTTTTTTATTTTATGGGAGCCTGAAGAGCAATTTCTTAAGATAGTCATTATCAATCTCGTACAATTAATAATTTTATTTATTAATGCAAACCAGAAGAACTACTTTAAATAATGAAACTGAGTTGTTAGGATAAGCCTTTCAAATAATAAATGCAAGCTACAATAATTAAATATAAATGTTAAAATCATTGACAGAGTGCAAATGTTATCACAAACAATAAACGTTTAATGTAGTCTCACCCAGGAACTTTGGAGCATTCCAGTACCATATATTCAGAGTTTAATCCCCCTGGAAGTCTGATTACCTCGGGGTACTTCTCCTGGAAAAAGGGAGTTGCACACTGAAACTGTATTCAACACTCGTCTGCTGTGGCATGTAATTGAGTTATTCTTGCATAAATGAAAAAGCTAAACTGGATTACTGGTAGTGGGACTAGTTTGATGATCTATGTAATTTAATTGTTTAAGTGGGAGAATGGCCTGATGCTAATACTCGATCGAGTCCAATTGAGTTTTCACTGGTATCGAATGCGAAAATAAGAATTGCTTTTGAAGTAGAAGAACAGTAATCCTCTAATTGCTTCTGCTTTCAACCTAGATGGAAGTTTACAATACCTTTTAGTCCTATAAGCTGTTCTTAATATCACATCTAGAGGATCGAAATTCTCATTATAGTTGTGAGTGTAAAATCCATAATGTGCATTTTTAATGGTCCTCCTAACAGATAGGCATATCTCAGATCCTTTCAGCAGGAAATGAGGAAGCAAGGTAAAGTTCTAGGAGTGAATTCCAAAGAACAGCAACACAAAGGAACAGAGGAATTGCTTTCCATCGTTGGAACAGAGAGAACAGTAAGAAAGCAGGGTGGAGGGTGTGGAGAGATTTGAAAATTAAATTGAGGACTTTGAAAGGCTGGATGATTGGGTAGCTCTACACCAGTCTTCACAAATCAGAGCAACCATGCCAATTTCTGGTTAGCATGTACTAATGAATTGTTCACTTTATACAAAAATTACCATTTAGTGGAATTGGAGCAAATGAAAGTTGCTCAGCTTTAATTCCGGTCATAGCTGCACCGGGAGAGTTAAATCTCCCTTCTAGTAAGACAACTAGAACCATTGCAATCCGATTCAATTCCATCAATTTAACTTGGCTCCACATTATGTAAAAAAAAAATGAACCACATCATCTTAACTTGATATTATCTCACAACTGAGCTTCTACCTTGGCTTTCTATTCCTGGCAAAATCTTGCCTTTGGAGCTTTCTCTTTGCACACCTGGTGGATGTGCTGCTGTCTCCTGCATCTTGGGCAGACCAAAGACATCCCATTGCATTGAAATGAGGTGTTTAAAATTCAGATTGGAAATAATCAATATAAGTGGCCAACTGTAGGGAAGCATCAAAATTTACTCAGTTCTGAAGAATAACTTGAAATATGAACTTTTTTTCTCTCTCCAGAGATGCTGTTTGACCTAGCATTCTCTGTGTATGTTTCAGATTACCAGCATCCATCCACAGTACTTTGCTTTTCTCAAAACTTACTCATAGTTTAAGGGCTTTTAAAACAATCTTTGAAATTTCCCGTACAGTTCTTTGCCTTTTCCCCCCTCTCTTTACATGTAAAAGCTACTAATCCAAGGTTTAATTAGGCCTCATAATTTCTCATTTCCTGGCTCAGCTTCATTCTTCCCCATACGTATTAACAAAAGATGTGGGACACTTTTAACAACTTGCATTTGTAATGTTTTTTGTTTCGAACACATAAATAAACCTTACAAGCAGCTGCCCAGGGTTCTTTCCAGTGGTACTATGATTACAGCTCAAGCAGCTGGTATGAGAAACTGGAGGATTTGCTAAAACTGGAGCCCAAGTTTTGTAGTTCCTTTTATGAACCAATCTCCAGGGTCATCAATGGTTGACACCTGTTAACATCTACTTGCACAAAGAAATTTGCTGTTATAACTTACCATGTTGAATCCATAAGCCATTTATGGACACAAAGTTTGTGGTAGAGTTCTTTAGCCAGTCAGGGCAAAGTGACTTCATGGCCAATGAATCATGGGATGAGAGAGACAAAAAAGCACAAGTGCCAGAATATTTATGAAGCTGTGGTGCAAGTTCTGACCATGGCTTAACTAAGCTGATATATAGATGAATTATTTGTGATTGGAAAAATACACAGGATATTTGAATAAAGACAAGGCAATGATTAGATTATCCAAAGTGTAAAACCGGTAACAACAGCTGATGCATCGAGGATATATAAAATACCACATCACAATACAATAATGCAATAGCGTACAAGGGCTGGATTTACTTAGTTTGTTGAAGATTGAGAGCTAGGTAGATTGAGAAAACAGACTCCAATGCAAATAAAAACTGCAACTAAAACAAGGAAGAAACAAATCAACACATATCAGTACTAGAAGTCAAGCCTTATAATAAGGCCTATTTATATAGTAGTGATCCTGTGGAAAGAAAAGTTGTGTATAGACAAATGTTGACATATACTGGCCAGCTTTGTAGCTGAATACCTAACTGGCATTCTTACAAAAAAGGAAAATATGCTTGAACTGAAGGAAAGTTCTGAAGTTTACTGATTTGAATATTTTTAAACCTAACCTCACTAACACAGCCATTGTCTTACAGCCTACCATTCTGAGAGGTCCTAGACATAATTAGTTTAAATATCTCTGATATCCCTGCCCAGTCTACGATTACGCTCATTTGAGGGGATAATGGTCAATGGGGAGATTCCGTTTATATTTACTGTATTAATCAGGAATACCGTCTTCCACTACATTTGGCATGTCTGAGTCTTTTATCTTCAAGGACCACTTTAGTCCATACTTTGCAGCCTGATGTAAAATTTAAATTAATGTTCCCCTTATTTTTTATGCAGTCAACATGCAGATTTTCTTCTTTCCCTGAAAATGTTTTCAAAGAAAATATAATCCTTAGCATTTTTCTGAAAATTTTGAAAATCCTATTTGTTGTGCCAAAATATAGCATTTTGCCCGAGTTGTGGAAACTAGAACCAAATGTTCAATTTCATTTTTGCCTAATTTTTCAGCAGGCAGTACCAATCTCTCAGAGCATCTGGGTTTGCAAAGTATTATATCAAACAGATAACACAGTAACAACTTAATTTGGAATTTGCCATATTTTAAGTGATATTGCTTGCCATAAATGTAACCAGCTTATATTTAAGAAGTGAGCATCTAAATGACAAAGATTATTATATGTTAGATCTAATAAAATTAAACCCAGATGGCTTTGGAAGACTGTGGTAAATATAATTAATTGCTGAGCTGAAAACGGAATTCTCACGCTCAATACTAACATTAAATGTGATCTTAAGAACATAAGAACTAGGAGCAGGAGTAGGCCATCCGGCCCCTCGAGCCTGCCCCGCCATTTAATAAGATCATGGCTGATTTTTTTGAGACTCAGCTCCACTTACCCGCCCACTCACCATAACTCTTAATTCCTTTACTGTTCAAAAATTTATCTAGCCTTGCCTTAAAAACATTCAGCGAGGTAGCTTCAACCGCTTCACTGGCCAGGGAATTCCACAGATTCACAACCCTTTGGGTCAAGAAGTTCCTCCTGACCTCAGTCCTACATCTGCTTCCCTTTATTTTGAGGCGATGCCCTCCAGTCCGAGTTTCACCTGCTAGTGGAAACAACCTCCCTGCCTCCACTTTATCTATTCCCTTCATAATCTTAAATGTTTCTATAAGATCTCCCCTCATTCTTCTGAATTCCAATGAGTATATTCCCAGTCTACTCAGTCTCTCCTCATAATCCAACCCTCTCAACTCTGGAATCAACCGAGTGAATCTCCTCTGCACCCCCTCCAGTGCTAGTATATCTCTTCTCAAGTAAAGGGACCAAAACTGCACACAGTACTCCAGGTGTGGCCTCACCAGGACCCTGTACAGCTGCAGCATAGCCTCCCTGTTTTTATTTATCCCTCGAGCAATGACAGACAAAATTCCATTTGCCTTTTTAATCACCTGCTGCACCTGCAATCCCACCTTCAGCGATTCATGCACAAGGACATCCAAATCCCTCTGCACAGCAGCGTGCTGCAATTTTTTACCATTTAAAACATAGTCCATTTTGCTGTTATTCCTACCGAAATGGATGACCTCACACTTATCAACATTGTACTCCATCTGCCAGACCTTTGTCCACTCACTTAGACTATCTGTATCCCTCTGCAGACTTTCAGTGTCTTCTGCACACTTTGCTCTAAGCCAAATTCTGACTAAAATTCTTGCCACAAGATCTGCATTTGCAAGCAATTCCTCAATTTAAAATTTATTCTTTACTTCATGGAAGTTATCCACTAAATGAACAGACTTGATTATCTTACACAAATTAATAATACTGGCAGACTTCTGTCTTGTGGAAGATGTTTCTGAAATTCATTTGTAATGTGTGTTTCAACATTACTCAAATATATTGATGAAGAAAAGCTTGTAGCCTGTCACTTCTATGTAATGCATTTCCAAGTAAAATATTTATTGGTAAATCAACTGCACATTATCTCTCAAGAAAGTACAGTGATGATGTCACAACTGTTTAGTGCTACAAATTTACCTCTATTTAACAACCAATATAATTTGATTTGATTTACTATTGTCACATGTGTCGAGATACATGTGGGAACATGCAGCAGATGATGTTACCCTGTGTTTATTGACCTTGTTTATCTCAGTAGTAATAGTTTCAGGTTTGGAAGGTGCTATTGAAGAAGTTTTGGTGAGTTGCCAGGCTGCATTTTGTAGATGGTGTACAATAGTATCACTGTGCCCCTGTGATAGCAGGAGTGAATGGTTAAGGTCGTGGTTTGGTTTCCAAATAACAGACTGATTTGTCTAGAAGAAGTCAAGCTTCTCGATTCTTGCTGGGAGCTGCATTCATCCAGCTAAGTGCTAAGCACTCTATCACATTTCCAACTTATGTCATTCCAACTGACGGACAGGCTTTGGGAATCAGATTGTGAGATACTCCCCATAAAACTTCCAACCTCTTGTAGCCCTGTATTTATCTGGTTAATCTTATTACAGTCAATGTTGACCCTCAGGATTTGATTGTGGGGATTTCAGCAATGGTAGTATTGTGGAATGTAAAGGGGAGATGTTGGTACCTGTTAACCATTTCTCTGAACTTACTTCAATATTTACACTGATTTATTTACGTTTGCTCGTAGCAAGTATACAGCCTGCTGAGAAGTGCAGTTCTTTAAAACAATAGGAATGTCAAAGCACTTCTGCACTCTTGGCTCCCACCCTCACCTCTGCAGTCCC